TAGAGAGAGAGAGAAACGGAGACTGGAGACATAGAGGAAGCGAAAGAGAGAGAGAGAAACGGAGACTAGAGACATAGAGGAAGCGAAAGAGAGAGAGAAGTGAGGGAGGAGACAGCTAGAGAGAGAGAGAGAGAGAGAGAGAGAGAGAGAGAGAGAGAGAGAGAGAGAGAGAGAGAGAGAGAGAGAGAGAGAGAGAGAGAGAGAAATGGATAAACAGACAAACGGACAAACAAGCAAATACAGTAAAAAAAAAGTACATAAACAAACACAACGAGATCAAGTAAATGAAAGAAAACAAGTAAGAGACAGACAGAGAGACAGAAAACGAAATAACCTGATTCCCCATTTTACTAAAGGCACTAATCCACGCATAGTATAAGGTTAAAAGTATAAGGAGATTGAAGTACATCTATTATACATTCCCCGGAGATGAGACAATCGAACACCTTATTTCTCTCCCAGAGGGTTGGGTTTGTATCAAGCGTTTCGCGTTTGTTTTTGAAATGTTACAATGTCACAGATGTTTAATTATGTGAAACAAGATTCAGATGTGTTGCTCCGGGGGAATACTATTTACAAGGGAATAAATTGGGTAAATGAAATAATAGATAAATGAGGAGACAAGATTAAGCGTTCCACGCCCACTTACTCTCTCCTCCCACTCCCTTCCCTCTCCCTCCCGCTGCCTTTCCCCTTTTCCTCCCCTGAAAATTTTCCTGGTTCTGTGAAGCGGTTAAAACACACGTCTTGTTGCGAGTTTAGAAAATAGCTTCTAAATAATCCGTATGCATGAAGAGGGAATGTTAATTAAATGATTATGAGGATGAGATATGGATTAATAAGTGATTCACTTCGTAGTTAATTGTCTTAATTATTTGCTCTTACAGCCTCGTGCATGCGTTTTTGTTGTTTTTTTATTATTTGCCGATTAATTGGAATTACTATAAAATGGTTTGATTTATATGTTAATGTTTGATTAGTGTAACTACTTTTTTCTGCAGCGTAATCATTTTGTATTTTATTATGCAAATATACAAAATCCTACGATACTGACAAAAATGTTCTATTCCCTTATCACTGTACCCCGATCATAGTATGGAATTTTCACTTTCCTTTGTATTTTATCTTCCCATGTAATCTGGTATTTACTACAGATTACATACTGTTATTTCATTATAACGTTGCTGTATCGTTTCCCCAGCTGTACCCATTGAACCGTACTGATCCATTTTATGATTCGCAACCCTGTGGATTTTTCTTGTATCGTAACTTTTTCTATTCTTAAGCCATTCTTTTATACGTTCCTGTACTTCAATGGAATTTCACATTAGCCTTGGGTATTGTACCGTAGATAGGCATGAGACTACTATATTTGACCATGTAACGTTACTACTGTGCCGTATCATTGTCAGTGTATTTTCTGCTGTGTCCGTGAGGTCTACTGTGCCCTCGTCACTGTACCATGCCATTTCATAGACACCGTGGCCATTGTACCGTACCGATCTCAGCGTTCTTGTAATGTACCGTACTTACCTCATTCACCTTGTCCTTACTTTTCTTCTTACTGTACCCTACTCACCTTACTTGGCCCTCACTCATTCCATCGCCTCTCGCCCAGTGCCCAACCTACAGCCCCTCCCTCATACCTGTAGTGCCCTACCCCATGTCACCCCTCACCCCATGCCCAACCCTCCATTCACCTCCTCCACCGCCAATACCCCCCCTCCCCCCCATCTATGCCTGGAAGCAGCGAAATGTCCTTGGTCTTCAGAAGGAGCGATTCTACACCTACCCCACCCCACCCCAACCCAGACGACCCCCCACCTCATCGACTTCTTTAACCCTCCCCCTCTCCCCCTCTCCCCCACCTATCTCGTCTTGCTGATTGGGCAAATATTTACCTGCTTGAAGGCATACTGTTTCACCTGTTGTGGATGCTGCTGGAATTCGCCAGTTACTTTATCTTTTCGTATCTTTTTATAGGTAGAGCAGTAACGTGTTGTCTCATTCTTGGAGTAGGGTAATTTTTGCGATAATCAAAAAAAAAATCTGTACGGCATCATCATCTTTTTTTGGCATCTATTACATTTCGCATTTCAGAAATGTATAAATCATCTCTCCCCCCCCCCCCTTCCACCACCTTTTCCCCCCAAAGACGAAGCCAAGAAATAACAAAAAGGAGGGTAAAGGGTTAAATATAAAATAGGAAAATCCAGCCGCGTCTGAAAACTGGAAGTATCTGCCACCATCGCCGCCCACCTTCAACATGGCCAGTGTACCGTGGAAGAGTAACGGGGGAAGACGCGCGCCCTCATGCTCCGCTGTCACCACTCGCTCGAACACACACGCGCACGGATTCCCTCGACGCGACACCACACACTCTCCTGTGGTGCTGTGGAGTGGAAAGAAAGAAAGAAATAAAAAAACATGACCCCCTCGTGGTGTGGAGTGGTGTTGACGGCGATGATGGTCCTGGTGTTGACGCGACCCTCGTGGGCAGGTAGGAAATGTTGATCGTGTTGAAGGAAGGTGGCATGTGCAGTTCCGCTCGATTGGGTGCCAAGGTGTGCGAGGGAAACAGAGGCCGGGGGAGTTGGGGGAATTAGTTCATTACGTTTATTAGCATTGTCATTATTCTGTGTTATTCCGACTGTTCTCATTATTATTGATTTATTGTTGTTTTTGTTGTTGTTATCGTTGTTGTTAGCATCATCATGATCATCATCATTTATTATTTTTGTTTTGTTATTATGTTGGCGTCATTTTCTTATGTTACTATTATTATTGTTGTTTTTTTTATGGCTATTTCAATTATTGTTATTGTTGTTAGTTATCATTGTTATTATTGTTAGTTATTTATCATTGTTATTGTTATTATTGTTAGTTATTATGTATTGATGTTATTCTTAGTTATTATTTATTATTGTTATAATAATAATTATTATTATTGTTGTTGTTATTGGTTCTTATCATTATCATTATCATCATCATCATCATCATCATCATCATCATCATCATTATTAATACTAATATGTTACGATTACCAATACAAGGTGAATCTCAAACATCGAAAATCTTGGCCATGATTTATAAAAAAAAAAAGAGAAAAATAAAAAATGATAAACAGAGAGGGTGAAATTCGGTAGTAAGTCACGAATTTCTTTAGGCTGTGACGCAGTGCGGAAAAGGATATTTGAGTTTTTGTGAAGGGGAAATTGCCACTGTTGGAAATTCCCCTGAAAATTGAGCTCGCCGTTTCCCAATAGGTTGTGTAGTGTGTGAGTGAATTACAGGTCATTTTATGTATTTTAATTGTCCTTTGTTGTGTTTGTTACTGGTGTTGTTATTTGTTTGTTGTTTTGGTGATGCAGGTAGTCGAGAGAAGATTATTATTGTGGATGTTATACTTATTCAGCTAGTGTATATCGAAGGTTAATAGAACCTTGGGTTTAGCATTATACTTTCACGCTATATATATGCCTGAATATAAATCGCATACATACTGTACGCGACTTGATATACACGTGCATAAACTTATTCAATAAGAGAGAGAGAAAGAAAACGCAGTAATTGATGTCTACACGCCCCCTTACCTTCCCCTCCCTCTCTCCCCCTTCCCCTTCCCTCCCTCTCTCCCCCGCCTCCTTACCCTTCCCCCACCCCCTTACCCTCCGCCTTGCCCTTCCCTCCCCTACCCCTAACCCTCTTGACCTATTGCTGGCATCACATGATCAACTACGTAATTGGCTATTAATAGTGATCTTAACACCCTCCCCTTTTAACACGAATCCAGCAAGGCGAGTACTTGTTGCAATAGTCCGGTGCAATGTTCAACGGGAGTTGAAGGTTTAGGTATTCGTGACAGTGAGAAATGTTTATGATTGAAGATGCACTAGTGCGGAGTGATCCTGCAGGTGGTGTGCGCATCCACATGTACGTAAGCAAACATAATCAGACACGCACACGTATACACGCACACGCATATGTATCTCCCTCTCCCCTCTCACTGTCTATAGCTCTCGTTCTCACATACACACACGACACGCATGCACACGCACACACATGCACATACATGCATCATAGAGACACAGACGCACAGGCATGCTTACGGACATCAAAGATATATTCTCAGGTTACATCAGTATGACGAAACGAAGCCGCGTGGCATTTAGGGAAGACTGCATGAATGCTGTTTGCCCATGTTGTGCTGTAGTGGGGTATGATTGCTTGTGGATCCAATTTTGTATACGTCTCCTTCCTCCTTCCCTCGCTACTTTCCTGTCCCCTCCACTCTCTCTCTCTCTCTCTCTCTCTCTCTCTCTCTCTCTCTCTCTCTCTCTCTCTCTCTCTCTCTCTCTCTCTCTCTCTCTCTCTCTCTCTCTCTCTCTCTCTCTCTCTCCCTCTCTCCCTCTCTCCCTCTCTCCCTCTCTCCCTCTCTCCCTCTCCCTCCCTCTCCCTCCCTCCCTTCCTCTCTCTCTCTCTCTCTCTCTCTCTCTCTCTCTCTCTCTCTCTCTCTCTCTCTCTCTCTCTCTCTCTCTCTCTCTCCCTCCCTCCCTCCCTCCCTCCCTCCCTCCCTCCCTCCCTCCCTCTCTCCCTCCCTTCCTCTTTCTCCCTTCCTCTTTCTCCCTCCCTCTCTCTCTCTCTCTCTCTCTCTCTCTCTCTCTCTCTCTCTCTCTCTCTCTCTCTCTCTCTCTCTCTCTCTCTCTCTCTCTCCTCCCCTTCTTTCTCCTTCGTCACACCACAAAGTCAATGCCGCGGAGATATGACAAGGAGGCCATCAATTGATCTTTTCCCTAGCAACGCTCAGCACCTGTGACTTCAGCGGCCGGATGAGCGAAAAGTTTTTCCCTTGAGCGGTTTTGCGGTGAAGGAGGGGGGGGGGGAAGGGATCAGAGGAAAGTAAGGGGGGAGAGGGAAAGGTAAGGAGGGTGAATGGAAGGAGTAAAGTGGTGGAGGGAGGGAAGAGGGAATGGGGTAGGTAATAGTGAGGAAGGGAGAGGTAAAGGGACGGGGGTAAGGGAGGAGGGGGGGGGCGAGAGGAAGGGAGGAGGGAGAGGTAAAGGAAACGGAAGGGTGGGAGTTTAGGGAGGAAAGGTATTGAGTAGAGGTAAAGGAAAAGGTAAGGGGAAAGTGGGGGAGTAAAAAGATGAAGGTTAGGGAGAAGGGGTAAAGGGAAAGGGGAGGCTGAGAGAGGAGGGAGAGGGAAAGGTAAGGAGGAGCGAGGGAGGTTGGAGGGGGAAAGGAGATGAAGAGGAGAGGAGGAAGGGAGTTAAAGGATGAGAGAGGAGAGAGAGAGAGCAGATAAATGCAGAATCGAAAAGAAAATTAAGAAGAGGGATAAGACCGAGGTTGAAAATAAATAAAATGTAAAAGGAAAAGGGTGGAGAGAGAGGGAGAGAGAAAACAAGCAATGCATGCGATCTCTTTTGAACAAAACGATACCATTAACACTTTACCCTCATCCTGTGTTAGGTATCAAGTCAAAGGTTCGAGATTACAATTGTCGACATGTAGCATCACACACACTCTCTGCAACACCGGATCGTAGATAGGGAATTATTACAGGTAGTCATTTTAGTTCACCAGCACCGTTTGATATCAGAAAAAAAATTCCACTGAATACCCACTCAGAACGATTTTCACGTTACTCTGATCTCTGCCTCACATAACATCATTATGTTTGAATAACTGTGTATCTGGAGGGTGAGATCAGGCTTAAAACAGTGCAATAACTGCCGTCCCGTTACATACATAATAACTGCAGATAATCTATGGAAGATTTCATATATCAAATGTTTTACGTTTTTGTTATTTTCCGTCCTGTTTCTTATAGTTTTACAAAATTGCTTAGATTATTTGTTTATTTCCTTGTAGCTTTTTATGATTTCGATATTGTGAACCATTTTTTTACGTCGTTTTATTTTTAGCTAATTTGTTCTATTTAGGGTTCTACATTTAAGTTAGCGCTGAAGTTACAGTAAGCGACTTCGAAACGTTTGGAGAAACAATATAGAAGACATTCGCAGCTGCGCCGGTGTTACTTTCCTGTTGAGGTTGCGATTCCTGCAATGAAAATCACTTGCGGAGTTCACACACGCACATGCACATGCACACGCACCCCCCCCCCTCACACACATACACACACGTGTATACATACCCTAGTGTTATCCCTCATTGTCACTCGTTTATTTAGTCTGTTGAGTCTTACGCAGCACCTTTTTTTATTATGAATTATTCTATTTATTTAATTATTATTATTTTGCTATGGAGCCGAGGATGGTGATTGAAAGGGAGGATTCAAGAAAAAAATATGGTTTGTTTTAAACCCTTATCTTCACCAATCTGTCATTATCAGCCTGTCCGTTATTGATTAATTACGATTGATTGATTGCCACCGCCAACCTATCCATTATATGATAATTATCGCCACCTTGTCAGTTATCATAATTACCATCGCCATCCTTTTTTTCAAAGTATCATCACCAACCTTTCAGTTATCAAATGGTTATCTTCACCGTGAAAAATAAAATAACTTCATTACAGGGTCTTTGTTCCTTGTTCTCAGTTATATTAGATGGACTGACGAAAATCAGAAAGGATAAAGAAGAGGAAGGAGAAGGATGGCTTTGACAATATAAGATGAACAAAGAGAATAGGAGAAAAATGGCGGGAAAAAAAAGAAGAGACGAGCGGGGAGCGTAATTCGAGGAGTGAAGGGGGGAGGGGGGGTATCTTTGTTAACCGTTGTGCAGGTTTCTTCATTTTTCTCTTTGATTAATTCTCTCTCTCTCTCTCTCTCTGTTTCCCTCTTTCTTCCCTCCCTCATTCTCTTCACCTTTCTTTCCCCTCGTCCTTCCATCTCTCTCTCTCATTCTTCCTTCCCTCTCTCATTCTCTACCCCTTTCTCTTCTTCCATCCTCCCTTTCCCTCTCTCATCCTCTCCCTCTTCCTTTCTTTCTCTCTATTTCTCTTTCCCTTCCCGCCTTCTGTCTCTAAGGGAAAGTAGGAGGGAAAGCGAGCAATTGAGAAGCGAAAGAAATCGGGAAGGGAAGCCAGAGTACAAACTTTCCCCGCGGCTATATTTAAGCGTCGAACTGATGGCGAACTGTAGTTAAGCTTGGCTGAAGAGATGGTCAACTCCCTCTCTCAGTCTGTTGGTTTGTCAGATAGTCTCTCTCTCTCTCTCTCTCTCTCTCTCTCTCTCTCTCTCTCTCTCTCTCTCTCTCTCTCTCTCTCTCTCTCTCTCTCTCTCTCTCTCTTCTCTCTCTTTCTCTCTTTCTCTCTTCTCTCTCTCTCTCTCTCTCTCTCTCTCTCTCTCTCTCTCTTTCTCTTTCTCTCTTTCTCTCTCTCTCTCTCTCTCTCTCTCTCTCTCTCTCTCTCTCTCTCTCTCTCTCTCTCTCTCTCTCTCTCTCTCTCCCTCTCTCCCTCTCTCCCTCCCTCCCTCCCTCCCTCCCTCCCTCCCTCTCTCTCTCCTCCCCTTCTTTCTCCTTCGTCACACCA